TTTTTTCTGGCCTATTTTTAGCCCAATTGCAGTTTGGTTTGCTTACCGTGACCTCTGATTTCTTCTCAGGCAAGAATCCTAAGTAACCTTCTTGCGCACATTTTTCTTAGCTATTGATATTCGGTATTCGTTTCTCCGAATAAACTTCAAGATTCATGGCCTCAGGTGAAGGCACGACGTGTCTAACCCAGCTTGAGTCACATGCCAGGGCGAAAAGCCAGCTCTGCTTTTTCTTTTTTTAACCTTCAAACACCAAGGATCTTATTTCTATATCCCTTTCCACGACAAGACCCTGCCTGCCCTCAGGGGTCTCAGACCCTCACTACAGAAGAGATCTCATTACTTCCTCTGAAAGAGGTAGGAGGACTGCTACTTTCTATGCCAAGAAGGTAATTTGTGCTCTCAGGGTGAGCACAGGACACCTCTTCCTAGAGGTGCAAAGCACACGCACATACACACTTTTAATCTCTTTTTTTAATCACTTTTGTATCATATTAAGGCAGTTGGATTTTCACCCTGTAGGCATTTTGTTTGCCATTTAAAAGTTCCAAGTGGAAGAATTACAAGATCAGTTTTGTATGAGTAGGGTACAGGGAGAAGAGACAAACTGGAACCCGGGGGTCCAGTTAGGGACCACTGCAACAATCTAGGCAAAGACAAGACCTGAAATAAACCCGTTATCGGGGCCCTAGAACAAAGTGGACAGATTTGAAAACACCTGAGAAGTAGAACTGACAGGAGCAGTGATTGGTTTGGTGCCGAGTCAGCTAAGAACCCAGTGCGAGCGCCTGCCCGATTTCTAGCCTAAGCATGGAGTGGATAGCACACCATGAAACAACAAAGGAGCACAGGAGCAGGAGGAGACAGGACGACGTCGAGCATGAGCTGAGTTAGGGAGGTATTCAGTTCGAAGGCCTGAGTCACATAAGTGGAGATTCCTAGCTGACACCATATGGAGTTTGAAGCTAAAAGGAGACTGAGACCGAAAGGGTGGTTTTGAGAACCAACAGGACGGTGATGGCAGTAGCAGTAAACACCAGAGGGGACAGAGAGCTAAGAGCAGGACACTGAGGGCCACCGATCTTTACCAGAAGAGGTGGATTTGGCCAGCCGGGTCCCTGAGAATGAGTCACTTAGTAAGCAGAAACTGGTAAAGCAGCAGAAGTGTTCTAAGCAAAAGGGCTCGCTCAGCTGGGCTGAAAGGAGCAGAGGAGTCTCAAGGCACCATGGACTTGGCAGATACCAAGTTCCACCTGATCGTGACAACAGCCATCTCAGTCGACTAGAGAGAACAGAAGTCAGGTTCATTTGTTTGTTTGTTTGTTTGGCTTGCTGGGATTTAACCCAGCCCTGATACATGCTAGGCAGACACTCTAGCACTGAGCTATATCTTTGGTCCTTTTAAAAATTTTATTTTCAGACAGAGGCTCGCTAAATTGCCCATGCTGGTCTCACCCAGGAGAGTCTCCTGCCTCAGCCTCCCACAGTGCTGGGATTATAGGTGTGCACCACCACACCTGGTCCAGAAGTCAGTTTTTAAATGTAGAGTGAAGGCAAGAGTAAGGGACCATGTAGATGCTTCCCCTTTGTCCCTCCTGTTCATTCACTCTGCTCTCTGTCCCAGGTACACAGTGGCGACACCGACACACTCCCAGACTCATGTTTGGCCGTTGGCAAGCCCTGGGAGGAGGGACAGAGAGGTGGTGGTGGTGTACAGTTCCCCAGGTCCTTTCCAGTGGGGTCAGCCACATGCCCTGAACCAGAGCCAGCAGCTCCCTCTCCTGGGTTCAGGTGACCCCTGCCTGCTGCCTGCCCTTAGACTCTGAGCACAAATCACTCTGCTAGGCCTGCTTGTGTTTCTCTACAAGCCCACTGACCCCTGCTAAACCTCCCCTAGTTGTAGTACTTGCACACATCACTTGTCTGCTGTAGGAACCCTGGCTGGTGCCGGAAGGAACCTTGGCTGAGAAGAGATGGAAATATGCAAAGACGGGTCATTTTGTCACTGGGTTTTATTTTGTAAGGGTTGGAGAGGCTAAGCTACAATAAGCAACTCATTGCTCAATGACAGCCAGGTTCTGTTTGAAAGGTGTCATCCTTGATGAGGAGAGAAAGAGGCAGACTCCCTGGTGGCCTTTTATGTTGGTGAGGTTACAGGTGACCTCACCTCCAGGGCTTCAGATAGGTGAGAACTTGTGCTTCCAGTTTGCCTGTGGCAGTCCCTCTGCCAAGTGTGTCCATGGCTGTGCTGGCAAGGGTTGGTTTGGATGGAAAGGCAGACAGAGAAGAAAGAACAAAAGTCAAGACCTCACAAAACCCAGGTACAACTCAGTGCACCAAAGCAGTCAGACACTAAGCAACGCGGCTGGTGTTTTCTTGAACTTTGCGGAGCAAGACCCAACCCCTCTCACCCTGCCATTCTTGCCGCTCTCATGGGTCACTGCTCTGATTGCACCGGTCTTTCTCAAATGAGCCTGCTCTGCTCCTGAGCTTGAGTTCTGACCTGCAGTTTGGCAGGGGATTGAACCCAGGGCCTTTGCATTGCACTATACCCAGGCATTTCTTAACTTTTTGAGACAAGATCTTGCTAAATTGTTAAGTTGCCCAGGTGGGGTAGAATGTGCAATCCACCTGCCTCAGCCTCCCAGGGTGCTGGGATCACAAGCGTGAGCTACCAAACCCACCAGTTTCTTCAATCAACTCTGACATTGGCTAATGCATTCTCATCGCCAGATCACTCGTAAACACCACTTCCTCACCAGTCCTTCTCCAGCCAATCATCAAGCCCTGCCTCTTCTACGTCACAGACCTTTTATGATCTGTACTCTTTTTTTCCCCTACTATATTAGGATAAGGCTTCATTATCACTTCCCTGAAACGGTAAGGAACATGCCAAGATCTCCTTGTTTCTTCTCTCTCTTGTCTACAATATCTTAATTGCCACCCCCAGTCTTTTTTTCTGAAACACAAATCTGACATTGTCACTACCTTGCTTAAAATCCTTCAGTAGTTCCCTTGTATTTCTCAGAGAATGGAGCCCAGATCCCTTCTGAGACCACGCCTATGATGACGTCAGGACTGCCCTCTAGGCCCACCTCTTAAAGGCGCCGTCACCTCCCAATACCACCACCACCCAAGGCTGTGAACCTGGGAGAGGATCTCCAGAAAACCATTTCCAAACCACAGGATACAGCCGCGCTCATTGGGTACTGCCTTTGTTTTCTATTGCTACCCTAACAAGGTACCACAAATTTAGTGCCTTAAAAAAATATTTTCAAGTTGTAGCAGATCAAGAGCCTGAGCTGTCTCACCTGTGCTAAAATCAATGCCCAGCAGGCATTTTCCTTTCAGAGGTTCCCAGGAACAATTTGCTTCTTTGTGTTTCTGGCTTGTAGAGGCTGCTTGCATTGGTTCTTGGATGGCTCGCTCCATTTTCAAAGCCAGCGACCCTGGCAGAGAACTCACGATGCCACCTCAGGTTGCACCCTTCTGCTTCTCTCTTCCACTTGGTAAAAGTCTCTTCGCGTTCCCTTGACCCACCTGGGTACTCTAAAATTATCTCCCCGCCTCAAGGTCATCTGATTAGCAATCACGATTCCGAATCGCCAGGGAACCACTCGCTTAGGGCCTGGCCGATTGACTGAAAGAAGTCGACATAAATTGGTGGAAAGTTTAGAATTTAGAATGAGAATCCCTTCATCTCTCCTACTCTGAATTCTAATCGGTCATAGCCAAAGGCAGTGTGGCGTTAGGAGGCCCGGTCCGAGCCGAAGCCCAGCACGAGGGACAAATTCTGGCTCCATTTACTGTCTACTTGGTGTGGAGGAGGAAGGTCGCTCACGCCCACTTCCGGAAACACAGTGATTACGCTGAAAAAAAACATGGACACCGGCCTGCCCACCCCAGAACTGTAAAGATCATTACTGGTCAGGCTTCTGAATAAGACTTGCTCTGACACGCCTGGCAAATGTAGATCATTAGAGCCTTATTATTTGTAGTGTCTTGGTGAGTAGTTGAGGGAGCAATTGAAAGAGCTCAGCTTGTAGATTCCCTTATTGTAATCAAAGACTAACTGGAGGAATATCCTCCTCTATCTCACTTTAGGACAATGCAGGAATGATCTCATCTTTACAGTTTCTACAACACCACCAACATATATGACGCCACCATTTTGGAGACGTTCTCTTCCCCCTTTAAATTGTGAATCCTTAGAGTTTATGTAGATCCAAACCCTTTTGCCACTATTCGAGATTAGACTTGAAATCTGCCACTGCAGGAAACGTTTCCTTTTTAAAAGAATGTTTGTTTTATTTATTTATTAAGTTTGTTGGTACTTTTTAGGTATACAATGCAGTTACATTCATCATTGGGATCTTGTACTATACATGACTTATCTTGGTTTTTATTTTTCCCCATTTCCCACCCTTCCCTGTTTACAAAGACATTGTTTCCATATTTTTCCTTTTCACATATTTTTTCTTTTCCCCTTTTACCTTTTCCCTACCCCTCCCACTTCCTCTACTCTTTCAAACCCTTTCTTCCTATTACACAATATTGATTATACATTTTGATCCTCATTTACACTTTTAGTTTTTCACACAAGAGAAACTATTCAGTGTTTACACGTGTGCAGCTAATTAAAAGCGTGTTTTAACAGGGACTAAAGGGAAAAGCACTTTTTTTCTTGTTATTGTTCTAATTGTTGAAAAGTTATGTGCTATGCTTCAGTATCCCCAGTGTTGAAGAGAGGACTAGTTACACACGTAAGACACAAGTTGCCCACCATTCTGGTGAGCTATAAAAGGAGACTTTTATTTCTCTTTCGTCCTACCCTTAAAAAGCAATAAAGGAAAAGAAAAAAATATGAGAAAATGAAAAAATAGAAATGAAGTGTTTGTAAATGGAGAGGGGAGGAGGGGGTGAAGGGAGGGCAAGGACAAGGGGAGAAAATGAGAACCAAGACCTGTCATGTGAAGGTACAAGATCCCAGTAATGAATGTAACTGTACTGTATACCTAGAATGTACCAATAAACTCAATTAAATAAAACAAAATTGTTGATCTCTTGCTTACTTTAACATGACAGGTAGCTACAATATCAAAGTTAAAAATAAAAATCACAGATAACATGACCCCTACATTATGTGTGAACAACAATCTGGCTTAAAAGAACATTGCTGTGGATCACAGGGAGTTTTATTGATTTCTCACCCATATCAAATGCCTCCTAATCCACCCTTGCTATGATCAAAATAGTCATCACAAACACCATGATGAAGAAAATCCACATGAAGAATCGGTCTATGACTTTCGCAACCTTCTTCCATTCACTCCCCTTGGAGTTGTTGGCCTTGTGGTCTTTGAGGCACCTGGCAATGTACTCGATATTTCTCATCAGCGTTTCATATCGTGCACAGTAACTCTCAGCATCCTGTGGCATCTCACGCTGGCACCCCAGATTGTTCTTCAAGAGTTTGTTCATTTCCTTCTTCTTGGAGAGATCTTTATTCCTGGCTGTCTTCAGGCTTGACTCTGGAAGTTTGCCATAAACCTTTGTTAGGTGGCCCTGCTCCATGCCATGGCACAGGCTGAGGCAGCTCTCACCCACATCATAGACAAACAAGATCCTGGCCATGTACTTCAGGATGACCACCCGGGCCCAGTGTGGCACTGGCCGGGCCTCAGTCCCACAGAAGTGGATATTCATCACCATGATGGTCAGGGCAGTAGAGGCTGTGATCAAGGCCATTGTAGCTATGTAGTATTTGCCTGCAATCAAAATAACATCAGCTAAGTTTGCTTTAACATTGTATTAATATTTGCTTAAAAAGAAACCAATATTTTTTTCTAAGGAAGTAACCCTAGTGGTCACATATAGGCTTCTGAATTGATGTCCTGGGTTCAAATCCTAGTCTTGCCACCCACTAGACTTGTAACCAAAAGCAAGATCTGTGGTCCTACTACACTTCTACTCTTGGCTTGGAAATATGGGTATAACTCAACAAAAGTATAGTGAGGCTTAGTAAAGATGAGACTCAGCAGGTTCTCTGCACTATCCAAAGGCCTGCAAATGTTAGCTGAGATCACGATGTGAAAAACTTCTAATCTCAACACTCAGAGAAACTGACCAGCTCTAAGTAGTGTCTTCAGACCTCACCAAGATGGAAGACAGTCACTGTTGAATAGGAAAAGGGGGCACTGTGTTACTGTGACTTTAAAATATGATTGTATAAAGTAAATGTTTATGAAAAAGGGAAGCAAAAGAAACAATATGGCCCTTTCTGTTTATAAAATATAAAACAAAAACTAAGAAGATGAGCAAAACCAAAGGCATTTTTTTTTTTTAATAGCTCCAGCGCCAGGAGGGCTGCCTGGGCCCAGATCGACCACAGGAAGGAGAGCCACACCCTCTCCCACCGGGAGCAGCCATCACTCCAGCACCAGGAAGGTAGCTATGTGGGTGCCCCTGAACCCCCACAACTCCCCCCCCCACATGCACTCTCACACCTTCTGATTGTGCCAGTCTTTGGACCCACTCTGCAGAGGCAGAGGTGGTCATCAAGGGTATTTTTCTGAGTTCCCAACTTTGAACATCTTTAAAGAAAGGGTGTGGGAAACCTGTAGTAGAACAGTGTGGAGTTCAACCATTCAGAAGGTTGGGGCCTTGCAGCCTGAGGTCAGTCTGCATCATGGGCTTAGCCATCAGCTAACTGAGATCAGGGGTCTTGCGTCCTAGCTCTGTCTGAGCCCCCATCCTAAATGATAAATATACTATATTGAAAAGTTTGTTGACTGCAGACATGTTTTGGACTGCCTCTTGATTTCAATTTAATTCAAATGGTTTAAGGGTGATAGACTAGTGGCTACCACAGGTGGTCAGTTTCCAAGTTTTGCTTGATCATATTGTGTTGCTGATTGTATCAGTTAGGATAAAGGATTGTGGTTGATTTGATGAGCTGTTTTCACTGATGTTATGAAGGTGAGAATGTCTGTGGGTCGTTAGAGACACAGAAGCTAGAGCACAACTATATCAGGAAGATTTGGGTGATAATCCAGAGATTAAACCAAGGACAGCCCAACAACAAAAATAAAAATGAGAAAACACTTAAGCAAGACACAAAGACAGACTTCCAGTTCACCAATGGCAAACAGTAGGGCAAATAGGATGAAAAGGCCGATAGTGAACCACCAGGACACCCTGAACTCAAAGCATGGGAAGTAACCAAACAGATCAATCAAGCTCTGGAAAAATTCAAAACAGAAATAATTTCCCAGATAACCATGGAGATGGTGAGCA